ATTCCAGACCTGAAGGGCAGCTAGGGGCCATAGTCTCAGGGGTTTCACCAGGTTCTATCAGACCAGCAAACTTGGTTCCTTTTTTTTTTTTTTTTTTTAATGATTTTGAGTTTTGTTCCACATTGTTCTCATACTCTATCCAGGATCTCCTACATAGATCCCCCTCAGGGTGGTTGGCAGTGATAGCCAGGCACCATCTAGTTCTGGTCTCACAGCCACATAGTCTGACAATTGCCTCTTTCTTATAGGTGTCTCTCCAGACCCCTATTAAGTGAATGTCATGTATACCACATAGCCTGTATTTTAAGTCAAACCTAATTTTAGTGAAAATCTGCCCAGCATTTGTATTCAATAATAACAAATAGAAACTTGTAAAGCAATTGTTTCCCTCAGGGTCGGTCCCCTCACTGTCCCAGACAAGATTTTTGTTTTCTTGTCTCAAAAGCTTTGCCCTCCCCATTCTACAAATCAAACCCCCTTAATCTTGATCCTTTCTATTCCTAGTCTCTCATCTCTGAATACCATTCATTTGGCATTTAGTGTTAGCTTCCCATTTTTGTTTGGATTCATTTTGTTAATATATCCTAGCTCTCCAACTTCTACACTAGTTCTCCAACTTTCAGTCCTAGCTCTCAACTTCCATAAAAGCCAAGGTGTACTTTTTTCTGTCTCCACAGAACTTAGTGCATATAGGTCTAACTCAAAAGAACTAGACAAACTTATTCCAATAAATAAGGAGCACTGGTGGTACAGTAGTTAAAGTGGTAGGGTGCTTTGGTAGTCTATTTCCATAAAAATTTACAGTTTTGGAAATTCTGTGGGGCAGTTCCACTTTGTCCTATGCTGTCACTATGAGCCAGAATCAACTCCACAGCAATGGGTATTCCAATAAATTATTCTAACTGCAGCTACTGTTTTTATAATACTAGTCCAGATTTGGCCAAAAAGTTTCTTTTAATGCTTATAAGAAGCTTTCAGACAATGTACACTAAAAGAGATTCTACCCTCCCCTTGACACCTATTTAAAAAAATTCTGTTGAAGCATTTCATTTCAATTACTCTTAAGTAGAAAAATACCATGATGCTCAATATTCTTGTTTTAATTTCCCTTACATTCAAAGATGGTTTATTTGTTTATGAACCTCAAAGTTTTTTAAAAAAATTGTTAAGAACCATACATTTGAATGATTCAAAAACATAACTTGAGTACTGTAATTATTTTTTTACCACCACCCCCAAATCCCACTGTTGTTGAGTCGATTCTAATTCATAGCAAGCCTACAGGACAGAGTAGAACTGTCATAATCTTTACAACAGCCAACTGCCACATCTTTCTCCTGCAGAGTGACTGATGGGTTATAACTGCCAACCTTTCCATTAGCAGCCAAGCTCTTTAACCACTGCACCACCAGGGCCAAAGCATAATTTATTTCAGTACAGGCAGTCACCCGGATTCCAAATGAGTTCTGTTCCTAAATCTTTAAGTCAAATTTGTATATAAATCAGAACAGTTAGATACAGTTCATATCTAAATTAGTCAAATGTCTGTGTTGTATATAGTATATCCTTCTATGCATAAAAAAAGAAATACTTCCAGATACAGTAAAACATCTAACATAATAATACAACAATAATGCTTCGATGTGCATTGCAAAGTAGCACCCATCAGTTATTACAAATTATTGTATGTGTTCTGAATTTTTAAATATAGTAGTCTTTATGGGGGTTGGTTCATAAGTATGGGTTGTACTTAAGTTGGACATTCTTAACCTGGGACTTGTGTTTTTCTCAATTTATAATTCAAATTTCCATCTAGATTATGGATACACCAGTGGTTACCCATCCCCAGTCTTCTTCTTTCCATTCTGTAGTCTCACTGAAAGATTTCAAGAATATTTATATATCATCTTAATTTTATGAAGACCATTTAAAGATAATCCAATTTACAGTTTTGAAAGTCTACAAGAACTGCAAGGCACTCTGGTGATGCAATGTATCTGATACAGCCTGCTTGCTAATGACAGCCAAACCTATACATTTCGGCAAGATATTCCTCTTCTGCTCTGGTACCACATTTCTAACTCTACTTGGATATATTCCAAACACCTTGTGTATTTGGTCCACAACATGGTATGTTAGAAATAGTTAATCTGCCTCTCATATTTCAAATTCAACACATTCCAAACTGAAATTTGTATATTACCCTCACTAAACCTGTTCTTCTCCCCTTAGTTCCTATCAGCAAAAGGCATCATCACCCACCCAGCTACCTAATCTCAGAAACCCAGGAGTCAATTTCAGACTGGTTCCTTTTCCTTAGTCACCACATTCACTTGGTTCCAAGGACTGCTGAGTTACCGTCCTAAATATCACACAAAGTCTTCTCCCTTATCCCAGCCTCATTGCTATTGCCTTATTTCAGGCTTTTATCACTTCTCTGGATTAGTTCATCTTAATTGATTTCCATGCTTAAGGCATCAGATTCCTTTCCTAACCTGATTCTGTTCCTCCAGTGTCTACTTAAGTAAAAGTGCTTATGGTAGAAACCTAGTCATTATCTTGTGTTGTTGTTGTTGTTGTTGCAGGTAGTCTAGTTGATTATGACTCATAGCAACCATATAGCACAGAGCAGAACTATCCCATAGGCTTCCTCAGCTAGCAACAAGTTTGGTTTAACCTCTATGGGTGCAGATTGCCAGGTCTTCTCTCCCACAGAGCTGCTGGTTGGGGTCAAACTTCAGCTTGTAACCGAAAGCTTAACCACTGCATACCAGGGTTCCTGGCAGTTCTTATAAACTTTCAAAATATAAATTTGATTATCCATAGATGTACTCCTTTCCAAAAATCCACTGTCATCAAGTCAATTCTGACTTACAGCAACCCTAAAAGACAGAGGAGAATTGCCCCATAAGGTTTCCTAGCTGGTAAATCTTTATGGAAGCGGCCTGCCTCATCTTTCTCCTGAGGAACAGCTGATGAGTTCGAACTGCTGAACTTTTGGTTAGCAACAGAATGCTTCAACCACTGTGCCACCAGAACTCCTAGTTAACTACAAGGTTCCCCAAAACATGCATGGAAATGGTTTTCTTATGTTAGTATCTAGACCATTCTTCTCTTCCATCGTCTCCATTCACCCATCAAACACTCAGCTCAGGTGTCATCTTCTCTTGGAAGCCTTCCCTGAGTCCCCCAAGCAGAGTCAGATGCCCCTCTCATTGTTCCCATAATATACTGTGCATGCATCAATCACTGTCCTTACTCTGCTTAATTGTAATTATCTGTTTACTTTTACGACTTCGTTGAAAGCAAGGGCTACAAATATTTCATTTCTCTATGTTGGATATTGATAATAATGACTAGAACACTGTAGGTACCCCTAACATATTCTGCAATCCAGCACTATCTTAAATATCTCTGAAGTACTACTTTCAGATTAGACAGAGAGCACTGCCAATAGTGTGGCTGAGGAAATAAATAAGGACAGCCTGAAACAGTAAGGATAAGTTCAAGTTATTATGAAAGTCAAAGTTACGCAGTCACAGAGAAGTGAGAACTACTGCTAAAGAGAGGGTTGCTGTCCAGTGATCAGTCGTAAAAAAAAATTCACATAAAAAGCCTTACTTAGCCTTTTACAGAAAAAACTGGCAAAAATGGTAATTCACTTGCCCAGGACAGTACAAATCCCTATACATGCACCAATGATAATCATAAAGCATTAGAGTCTTTAAGGAAGAAACACATTTCTTACCATAGTGAAATGGAAAGTAAAAAATCAACTCCTTCCTTTAATACATCCAAGGAAAATTCCAGTCAATTCACATATCAGTTTAGGGCAGAAAAGGCTACCTACACCAAGTCAGATCTGTACAGCAACTCTCTTCTCTACATGCACCTGCTTGCAATATTTCCCTCACAGCACTGTAGGGTGAGATCAATGTGGAGAGAGGTTAAAGTAATAAACTTTAGAGGAGTGGGTAGTTAACAGCAATTACAAACCCCAAATCCTTGACATTAAGGGAACAGAAGTTTCAATGTTCCCTAAACCATACACTAATAATACAGCTAAGACAAAGAATAGCGGTGTCCCAATTTGAAAAAAGAAAAAAGCCATATATATTCCCTTTTGAAACTGGGTTTTTTGTTTTGACCTTCCAACACAAATTAATACTATGTTTAAACCACAAACAGAACTGACACTCACCACCCAGATATGGTAATAAGCTTTTCAAATGCATTCTTTTATTTCTTCCTAAAGTAGTTACATACTAATTTACTAGTAAAACGGATCAGTTGTCCCAGGATTGAGCAAATCTGAAGGTTACAACAGTTCCACCTCGTAATTTCTTCATGAAAATTCTAAGGTAGCTGGCGTGGAAATGCAAGTTGGAGAGAGAGAGGAAGGCATTAGTTATCTTCTAAAATGACTTTTGGAAAAATGCACAACGATGGCTAGAAGGCAACACAGCCAGTAACATTTTCTACAAGTTCCAAACCTTTCTTGATTAGTCTTAAAATCTCTACTCCTACCTATAAGTTAAACGCTCTTCTCTCAGTAATGCCATAGCAGCGATAGGGCGGGGTGGGGAGCCACAGGCTATCTTGGGCAGGGTCAGACCTGCAGGTTTCTCAAGGTTTGCCTGGAAGGTAGTCAGACACTCCCTCGCCCTTGTTAGAGATGGGGAGATTCCAATTCTCATCTCTCATTCTTTTGTTCTGGGTCTTTCTTAAGGCCCAGGGCCTGATGGAGGGAAAGAGAGGAAATAAACCTAAAGAACAAATCATCGGTAGAAACTTCTAAATGCATATATACGTTTTTACACCGATACACAGCATTACACCGTTACCTTGGAAACCAAGCCAACCACTTAATCCCTCCTCAAAGATCTAGGGACCCATTCTTTCGGCCCAGAGGTCGTGGACTACAGGATGTTGGGACCAGGAAAGTGAGGGTGGTCTTCTCTCGAGGCCCCGCCCGGGGTCCCGTTTCCCCGAACGCCTACCGAATAGAGGAGTATTACAGCGCTGGAACCCGTGGGGCCGATGGATAAACAAGAATTAGATGAACTGGAAGAATCCATGGTGCGGCTGCCGTCCCAGGCGAGCCTGGGATTCCTTGCTAAGCGACAGTAGTGCTGCAGCTGCTGGGGGCGGTTCTTCCGCGCAGGGCGGCCCGACCTCGCCTAGAGCGGCAGTACCCTCTGCAACCGCTCCAGGGAACCCCGGGTGCCGCCATCTTAAGCCGGACGGAAGCCGCGTGAGGACCTGGCGCGTGCGCGCAGACTTTCCGGGAACCCGGAAGCCGAGTTGTATCGTGGTTGGGGCCTGGGTCCCCAGCCCCAGACACTACGATGTCACAGGCAAAAAGCCCAATGTCTTGCGCGCCTGCCAGCTCTCAGTCACTTCTGGACACGTTGCTCCAGAATTTCTACGATTTTGGTGAGTGCGCGCCCTCGGGAGCCCAAGTGCAGATCGAACTTGAGAAGCGTGGGTCTGCTGTGCGTCAGAAACTCGTGGGAAGTGGCTTTCCAATTCGTCAGACCTGTTTCCGACCTGCTCCTGGGTCTGAGGTCTACCGTGGTCACTAAGGCTGCTTTCACCCCACCTCCACCTCATGGACTTGCTTCCGTACCAGATCATGCAGAATCCTTAATAATGTTTATTATCAATTTCAGTCATAGAATAACATGTGATAAATATAGTTGTAAATTGCTTAAATCGAGCCTCCAACTGTTGCCTGAGTGTGTGGGACCAACCTGGTTGCTTTTCGGAAGCACCAGCGGGTTTCAGAATTCACTGCAGTGATTCATGCAGAACCTTGGACTCGAAGTAGCCCACTTTTTCATTTCTTTCAGACTCCTCGGGAGTCCCCTCTCCACTCCCTGATTCCCTGCCCAGTGCTGACCAGACCCGGTACTTTGGTTTACACGGCCACCCTGGGGCCTCAGGCCAGTCGTTGATAAACTACCATTATCATTCAGGTGTCTCTCGGTAAGGACTCCAGAAACGTTTCTCGTAACTTTTTTTTTTTCTTTTAACATAAATTGACCGACCTATGTTCTCCTTCCTTTATTTTGTTGGGGAAAGGAAAATTAAAAAGGTTATTATTAAAGTTAACAATGCTGAAGACTGGTTCCACATACTTAGAAAGAACTTGTCCCAAGATAGTGCAAATCTGTTATATGCACCAAAAATTATCATAAAGCGTTAGTGTCTTGAAGAAACAAACACATTTCTTAAATTTATAAAGTGATAATTCAAAAGCTTTTTTTATTTTAGAGCTGCTGTTGTTGTTATGTGCTGTCCTCTTGGACCTGACTCATAGTGACCCCTCCTTGGGTTTCTGAGGCAGTATCACTATGGAAATAGATTGCCCAACTTTCCTTCCGAAGGGTAGCTGGTGGGTTTGAACTACCAGCCTTCTGGTTAGCAGTCAAGTACCTTAGGCACTATGCTACCAGAGCTCCTTATTTTAGAGCAGGTTCTCAAAATTCTAACCTCACTTAAACAATATGAATAATAGCTTAAAAGTATTGAGAATTTACCAAATACTATATGCTTTTCATGTGTTTACTCATTAAATTTTCACAACTTTATGAAGTAGATACTGTCATTATCTGTTTATTGTCTGTGCTGTTATTAACCCCATGGTTTAGAATTTAGAAACAAGCAGTAGAGGTTAAAAAAAATTGCTGAAGATTACCTAACTAGTAACTTGAATAGCCTAGATCCCCATATAATACAGCTCCAGACCTTACACTTTTATCTAGTTATACAGTGTACAGAACAGTGCTATGCCCTTGGGAATATTGGAGGACAGAAAAGACCTAGTCTCTGACCTTCAGAAATTTAAAGTATGGAGGAGAAGATTATCTTGCAAAATCCTAAGTGTAGTTTATGTCAACACAGTCTGGAAATTTCTAGGCTAGGAACTCTAAAGGCATAGGCTGTGCCTACTTGTTTTTATATTTCTAATCTCTGGTAGCATAGTGGATAAGACACTTGCCTGCTAACCAGAGGGCTGGCGGTTCAAACCCACCAGCCACTCCTAGGAAGGAAGGTTGGGTAATCCTACTTCCGTAGTGATACTGCCTCGGAAACCGGAAGGAAGGTTGGGTAATCCTACTTCCGTAGTGATACTGCCTCGGAAACCCAAGGAGGGGTCGCTATGAGTCAGGTTTGACTCAATGGCACATAACAACAACAACAACAATGCCAGAATAGTAGTTCTGGTGACATAGTGCCTAAGGCATTTGACTATTAACCAAAGGCTGGTGATTCAAACCCATTAGCTACTCCTTGGAAAGAAGATTGGGCAATCTACTTCTGTAGTGATAGTGCCTGGGAAACCCAAGGAGAGATCACTGAGTTGGATCTGACTCAATGGTAGTGAGTTTGAGTTTGGTTTAATGCCAAACTTTAGTGGACTTTTAATGTGTATTGAGTGAAAGAGTAAGAAAATAGAAACAAACACCTAAATGATCAACTGATATTTTAGAGGGCTCTGCAATATTCATACTGTAGTTGGATTATGAGGCCTAGAATTCTTGACATAGCCTTCAGGTCAGAGTGTGAATAGAGATTTAGTAAAAAAAAAAAAAAAAAGCATTCAAATTACGCAAATTTTATCAGGTTTATCTTAATTTGTAACTATATGAAAGAAAATAGGATGACAATTGCACCTACTTGTAACATTGAGAACTGTTAAAAAGGAGCACTGGCTGCTTGTGCCAGACATTTTTAATACAAAACATGAGCTAACTGGGATTACCGGTCCCAAGGATTATTGCCATGATGACACTTTGAGTAAGGACCAAGGTAAGGACTAAAGTAATTGTGCTAATGAAGGTCAACAACATGAATGTAGTTACCAAGGAAAGAATTACTGTGTACTTTGGGTTTTGTATATTGTGCAGATACAGTGCTGTTTGAAGAAAAACAAGTAATTTATTTTTGTGTACTGGCTGCTTATAGATGTGGCATATGTACAAGTGCATTTATGTAGTTTAATATTGGTTATAGCTAAAACCAAAATACTTATTTTTTCTTTTTGTGTTTGAACAAACAGGAGATGAGGAAGGTGAAACAAAACAAAGAAGGATCAAAAAGAAAGGGGAAGGCAAGAAGAGAGGTTTGAGAAGCACAGCAGTCTTGGCAGAGGAACCGGCACCTCTACCCAGTTCTCTTGTAAGAGGCCAAAGGAAAACTGCTTCCAGCTTCTTCAAGGAACTCAGAGAAGAGCTGCATTGTGCTGCTGTAACCTCCACAGGTTTCCCTTCAGAACCAGAAGTCATTGCTGCAACATCTCCTTCTTCCCTGAAGAACAACAGGGAGCTAGTAGAAGTGGTAGAATTTCACAGCAGACGTAAAAAAAGAAAACTGAAGCCTGGCCAAGAAGAGAACACAAAGGTAATGAGGTAGTTTGTTTACTGTACTTGTATAGTTAAACCTCTGATACTGGAGTATTAGCTGAGTAATCTTATATTCCATATGACCACCCTCACACTCTAGGACTTGTTAAAAGGATTTATAGGATTTGACGGTGGTACTTAATAGTTTATTATAGCAAAGGGAAAGTGAAGTCTAAAGGAAACCAGACATAAGCTTCCACAAAGTAGAGTCACAAAGCATGTGCTTCATTCCCCCAAAAACAGTGTGTGACAGTACACGCTAAAGTGCTGTCAGCCAGGGACGCTCTCCTGAGCCTAATACCCAGGGTCAGTCATGTAGGAATGCAGTGGTTATATGACTGACTTAAGTTACTGATGTTCCAGACCCCCATAGGAAAGTGGGTGTTAGCCATAAACCACAGTGTTAGTATACACTGTGGTTTAAGGCCTCGAACAAACAAACAAAAAATCCACTGCCATCAAGTTGATTCTGATTCATAGCGACCATATAGGACAGAGAAGAATGCCCTATAGGATTTCAAAGGCTGTAAATCATTATAGAAGCAGACTACTTCATCTTTCTCCTGCAGAGAAAGGCTGGGGAAAATAAAAATACAGAGGCTATTTTAAGGCCAGGGCCTGAGGTAGGTGGGCATGGGGCTTGCTTGGGGGTGGCTGGTGGGTTTGAACTGCCAGCCTTTTGGTTAGCAGCCCCATGTTTTAACCACAGTGCCTTCAGAGCTCTCAAGGCCTCAGGCATTCAAAAAAAAAAAAAAAAAAAGACACTGTAATCACACAGAATATGTTAAACTCAGTTCCCAGTTCCCTTTCTGCTTTAATAGCGCAAGAGAAAATTCAGTCATTCAGCACTGTTTTTGGTGCTCTTAATATGTGCCAGCCACTGTTCTAGGTATGGGAGAAAGCAATGAACAAAACATACAAGAGCCTCACCCTTATGGAGCTTACATTCTGGTGGGATAATGATTTCACTGAGCACAAGGGAAGTGTGGTTGCCTATTCAAACTGTTTTTTTTCCACAAGGATATAATATGTATCAGGGCTTGAGGGCTGCTTTTTACTTGGGGGCAGCTCTGTTTGAAGGCTGGGACCCTAGGTAGGTGGGTATGAGACTCGGACTACTTTTCACTTGGGCGCAGCTGTATTTTAAGGCCGGGGCCCTAGGTAGGTGGGAGCAGAGCGATTAGGAACAGTTAAGGGAGACAGACTGTCAGTTTGTTGTCCTGTGGTGGCTTAGCATGTTGCTATGAGGCTGGAAGCTGTGCCTCCGGTATTGCAAAATGCCAGCAGGGTTACCCATGGTGGACAGGTTTTAGTGGAGCTTCTGGGCTAAGACAGACTTGGAAGAAGGAAGAGGCCATCCACTTCCCAAACAACTGGCCAGTGAAAACCCTTATGAGTGAAACACTGTCTGATATATTACTGGAAAACTTTATGAATAGCCCTGAAACATTGTCCAATATAGTGCTGGAAGGTGAGCCCATCAGATCGGAAGGCCCTCAAAATTTGACTGGGAAGAACTGACTCCTCAGAGTAGGAAAGACCATAATGATATGGTTAGAGTAAAGCTTACAGGACCTCCATTGGCTGATGTGGCATGACTCAAAATGTCAGAAACAGATGCAAATATCCATTAATAATTGGAACATGGAATGTACAAAGTATGAATCTAGGAAAATTGGAAGTTGTCAAAAATAAAATGGAATGCATAAAGATTGATATCCTAGGCATTAGTGAGCTGAGATGGACTGGTTTTGGCAATTTTGAGTCACAACTATATAATCTACTATGCTGGGAATGACAAATTGAAGAGAAATGGTGGTTAAAAGACTTTTCAAGATCTGTCCTATAGTATAATCCTGTTAGTAATAGGATAATACCCATACGCCTACAAGGAAGACCAGTTAGTACTACTATTTTTCAAATCTATGCACCAACCACCAAAGCCAAAGATGAGGAAATTGAAGATTTCTGCCAACTTCTGCAGTCCGTAATTGACCGAACATGCAATCAAGATGTGTTAATTATCACTGGTGACTGGAATGCAAAACTTAGAAACAAAGAAGAGTTACCGGTAGTTGGAAAATATGGCGTTGGTGATAGAAATAATGCTGGAGATCACATGATAGAATTTTGCGAGACCAATGATTTACTCATTGCAAATACCTTTATTCAACAGCAGAAGTGACGGCTATATATGTAGACTTCATCAGATGGAATTCATAGGAATCAGATTGATTATATCCGTAGCAAGAGGCAAAGGAGGAGTTCAGTATATTCAGCCAAAACAAGGCCAGGAGCTGATGGTGGAACAGACCATTAACAGCTCATGTGCACATTCAAGTTGAAGTTGAAGACAATTAAAACAAGTCCACAAGAGCCAAAATAGGACCTTGATAATATCTTTCCTAAATTTAGAGAACATTTAAAGAATAGATTTGATGCGCTGAACACCAGTGACCAAAAACCAGAGAAATTGTGGGATGATATCAAGAATATCATTCAAGAAGAAAGCAGGAGGTCATTAAAAAGACAAGAAAGGAAGAACAGACCAAAATGGATGTCCAAAGAGACTCTGAAAGTTGCCCTTCAGTGGACAGTAGCTGAAGCAAATGCAAGAAATGACCAGATAAAAGAGTTGAATGGAAGATTTCAAAGAGCAGCTCAAGAAGACAAAGCCAATTATTATAATGAAATGTGCAAAGGGCTGGAGTTAGAAAACCAAAAGGGAAGAACATGCTCGGCATTTCTCAAGCTGAAAGAACTGAGAAAAGAATTTAAGCCTTGAATTGCAATAGTGAAAGAGTCAATGGGCAAAATATTGAAACATCAAAAGAAGATGGAAGGAGTACAGAGTCACCATATCAAAAAGAATTGGTTGATGGTCATCCATTTCAGGAGGTGGCATATGATCAAGAACCAATGGTACTGAAGGAAGAAGTTGTAGGTACACTGAAGGAATTGGTGAAGAACAAGCCTCCAGGAATTGACAGAATACCCTTTGAGATGTTTCAAAAAATAGATGTGATGCTGGAGGCACACACTCAACTATGCCAAGAGATTTGGAAGACAACTGACTGGAAGAGATCCATATTTGTACTCATTCCAAAGAAAGGTGATCCCACAGAATGTGGAAATTATCAAACCATATCATTAATAACACATGCAAGTAAAATCTTACTGAAGATAATTCAAAAATGGTTGCAGCTGTATATTGACAGTTTCTAGAAATATAAGCTGGATTCAGAAGAGGACGTGGAACGAGGGATATCATTATAGATGTCAGGTGGATCTTAGCTGAAAGCAAAGAATACCAGAAACATGTTTACATATGTTTTACTGACTGTGCAAAAGCATTCAGTTGTGTGGATTATAACAAATTATGAATAACATTGAGAATGGGAGTTCCAGAACACTTGATTGTACTCATGAGGAACCTGTACATAGATCAGGAGGCTGTTTGAACAGAACAGGGGGATACCAGATGGTTCAAAATCGAGGGAAGTGCATCAAGGTTGTATCCATTCAACACTCTTACTCAATTTATATGCTGAGCAAATAATGCAAAAAGCTAGATTATATGAAGAAGAATGCGGAATCAGGATTGGAGGAAGAGTCATTAACAACTTGTGATACGCAGATGACACTTCTTTGCTTTTATTTATTTATTTTATTTTAATGTGATCTGGGTGAAGATTTACAGAGCAAATTGACTTTCCATACAGCAGTTCACATACACTTTGTCTCATGACATTGATCACAGTTTACCACAATGCAACAACTCCCCTCCCAATTCCTCCCCATAGTTACCTCTTCCCAGTGTCCATCTCTCCTTGCACTCCTGCCCCGTGAGCTGTTTCCCTGTGCATAAGCAGCCCTTCTTTCTCCCATGATTGTTCTCTCCAAGGAGTGTATCTACCTAAGGTAAATGTTCAACTCATATGCCTGTCTTTTGTTTGGCTGGAAACCACAGGTGTGGGTTCAATTCCAGACCTGAAGGGCAGGTAGAGGCCATAGTCTCAGTGATTCCACCAGGCTCTATTGGACCAGCAAACGTGGTCCTCCCCCTTTTTTTTTCTCCAAATGATTTTGAGTTTTGTTCCACATTGTTCTCCTTCTCTATCAAGGATCTCCTACATAGATCCCCTTCCAAGTGGATGACAGTGGTAGCTGGGCACTATCTAGTTCTTCTGGTCTCATAGTCGTATAGGCTGCAGATCGGATGGTGTACCAGTCGCTAGGACTAATTGTTTCCATGATTTTTGGTTTTCTTCATTCTTCTTTGCCCTGGACAAGAAGAGACCCATTGTTGCATCTAGATGGCAGCTTGCTAGCTTTTAAGATCCCAGTCGCTAATCGCCAAGGTAGGAGGTGGAACAATGTTTTGTATAATAATGTTATGCCAATTGAGCTTGATATCCCCTGAGACTATGGTCCCAAGCCCACAGGTTCAACTTGGCTGTGACCAAGCAGTGACTACCACCTTGCCCCTTGTCAGCTCGACTATACACCTGGGAATTCTGATCATTCACATAAACTTATAGGACCATTGTTGCCAACCCTATACATGTTCTTGGATACACTCCCCATTTCATAGACATACCTAAT